AAGAAAAAAAGAAAAAAATATTTTCAAATTCTTCTTCTAATATAGAGGAACTTCCACCTTCCACCCGTGAAAACCAATATCAAATGCACTCACCAGATAAAGGTGAAAAAAACGCCTCTAGAAATGAATTTCATCCACATTTCAAAAACCCTAAAAATTCTTCCTGCGCCTAGTAAAACACTCTAATACAGGTTCTATCCTGCTGCTGTGCACTGTGATCAACACAAACAATGAAAAAAAGGAAAAAAAACAGCGCAAACATAGACCTTTACATGAAATCAATATTACAAAGTGCAAACATAAGTGAAAAACTGATCAGTGGTAAAGTCCATCCAAATAAACCAAAAGTTCAAAAAATATTAGTCCAAAAAAGAAAAAAAAAAAAAAAAAAAAAAAAAAAAATATTTTCAAATTCTTCTCTAATATAGAGGAACTTCCACCTTCCACCCGTGAAAACCAATATCAAATGCACTCACCAGATAAAGGTGAAAAAAACGCCTCTAGAAATTAATTTCATCCACATTTCAAAAACCCTAAAAATTCTTCCTGCGCCTAGTAAAACACTCTAATACAGGTTCTATCCTGCTGCTGTGCACTGTGATCAACACAAACAATGAAAAAAAGGAAAAAACAGCGCAAACATAGACCTTTACATGAAATCAATATTACAAAGTGCAAACATAAGTGAAAAACTGATCAGTGGTAAAGTCCATCCAAATAAACCAAAAGTTCAAAAAATATTAGTCCAAAAAAGAAAAAAAAAAAAAAAAAAAAAAAAAAAAAAAAAAAAAAGAAAAAAATATTTTCAAATTCTTCTTCTAATATAGAGGAACTTCCACCTTCCACCCGTGAAAACCAATATCAAATGCACTCACCAGATAAAGGTGAAAAAAACGCCTCTTAGGAATTTTATGGGATCCTACACCCTCTCTTTCGTATCCACTCTATAGGAATCCTCCTCTCCACCATAGGCTCCACCATCCGACCAGGGAGAAAAAAATCTCAGATAGTGTAATATTGTAAGACACCATTCATAAGTGAAATCAAGGATTAAGGTCACTCACATTCAATTCAATTTAAAAAGGCATATTTATTAGGATCAGCTTCTTCCAGATAAACAGTAGATGCAAGGCAACCTCCCACGGAATCTCACATCACAGCTCCAGGTTTCAGCAGAAGCTCTACAGAGACACGCATATACAGATCCCAAAAGATGGCCGCTGGAACGCACCGCTCAGCGTGCGCGCTCCACTCACCGGAAGTGACGTCAGACGTACGGAGTACAAACCGGAAATGCGTCAACGCGTTTTGCCCCTCCCATCGGGCGTTCTCAAGACGTTCATTTCCTGTCTGAAGCTCCCTTATATACCCAGCAGAGACCCACCCCTCCGTTTCAATTGGTCAAAACTCTTCCCCGGGATGATCAAACAAACCACTCCTCCTGTAACGTGACGTGAGAGTCCCTTACAGATGAGGTAAATGCCTATACAATTAGAAATCTTTTTACATGTTATTCCTGACACTATTAAATTATCTCCCAGAAGCGACATGTATATTACCACATGTCCCCAGTGGGAAAAACACGAACAAAGTATTAAACAATGCCTCACTATTACAAACAACTTTCTTTAATATATGAGCAATGAATACTAAATAGTATAAAATGAAAATAAATATGAATGTAAAGAAAATAAAAAATATAAGATGAAAATAAAAATAAAAATAAAAATGAAAAATAAAAATAAAAATAAAAATAAAAATAAATAAAAAATAAAAATAAAAAATAAAAACAAATATAGATAAAAATAAAAATAAATATAAAAAATAAAGAATAAAAATAAAAATAAATATAAAAATAAAAATAAATATAAAAATAAAAATAAAAATAAATATAAAAATAAAAAATAAAAAAATTAAAAATAAAATTTGGTGAGTGACCTTAATCCTTGATTTCACTTATGAATGGTGTCTTACAATATTACACTATCTGAGATTTTTTTCTCCCTGGTCGGATGGTGGAGCCTATGGTGGAGAGGAGGATTGCTATAGAGTGGATACGAAAGAGGGTGTAGGATCCCATAAAATTCCTAAGAGGCGTTTTTTTTCACCTTTATCTGGTGAGTGCATTTGATATTGGTTTTCACGGGTGGAAGGTGGAAGTTCCTCTATATTAGAAGAAGAATTTGAAAATATTTTTTTTTTCTTTTTTTCTTTTTTTTTTCTTTTTCTTTTTTGCACTAATATTTTTTGAACTTTTGGTTTATTTGGATGGACTTTACCACTGATCAGTTTTTCACTTATGTTTGCACTTTGTAATATTGATTTCATGTAAAGGTCTATGTTTGCGCTGTTTTTTTATTTTTTTTTTTCATTGTTTGTGTTGATCACAGTGCACAGCAGCAGGATAGAACCTGTATTAGAGTGTTTTACTAGGCGCAGGAAGAATTTTTTTAGTACATTATCATTAAGCCCTGGTCCACACCAGTGTGATTTTGTAGACTCCACCTCCACAACATGTCCAAAATACGTCCGTTCCTAACCCCGGAAACTACAAAGCAACTCATTCACTCCGTTATTATATCACGACTTGACTACTGCAACTCCCTCCTCACTGGCTTACCTCACCGCAGGCTATCCCCGCTTCAGTCTATCCTGAATACTGCGGCCAGACTCATCCACCTTACTAACCGCTCCGTATCCGCCACCCCCCCTCTGCCAATCCCTCCACTGGCTTCCAATTGCCCAACAGATAAAATTCAGAATTCTAACATTGATGTATAAAGCTGTTCATAACACTGCCCCAAACTACATCACCGATCTGATATCCAAATACCACCCAAAACGTACTCTCTGCTCCTCACAAGACCTCCTGCTCTCTAGTTCCCTGGTCTCCTCCTCCCATACCCGTCTCCAGGACTTCTCCAGGGCTTCCCCCATCCTCTGGAACTCCCTATTCCAATCTATCAGACTATCACCTACTATCCTCACTTTTAGGCGCACCCTGAAAACCCATCTCTTCAGGGAAGCCTACCCAGCCCTCAGCTAATTGCCGACCTCCTCCGCTCATCCCACCACTCCATCCCCCACAGCTATTCCTCCTGTACCACTATCCCCTCCCTCCTAGATTGTAAGCTCCAAGGAGCAGGGCCCTCGAACCCCTCGTGTAGTGATTTGTATTGTTACTGTACTGTCTCCCATTGTAATGTACAGCGCTGAGCAAACTGTTGGTAGTACATAAATCCTGTATAATAAAAAAATAATAATAGTCGCGCTACTGCGCATGACTTCAAAGCCGACTATTCAATGTGGCTTCATGGCAGCTTGCTCACATAGATGTCAATACAAGCCACTATGAAGTCGTACAAAAATAGCGCAGGAACCTTTTTCAAAGTCAACCAACTTTGAACTCTCAAGTCACATGACAAATGACGGGCTACGGGCTGGTTTGCACCACAGAAACGCAGTTTGGATGTATTTCGGATGCATTTTTACATGTGAGTTTGTGATGCATTCTGATGGTGCGTTTTCCCCCTCTTTTTTCTTCATCTTACATAGGGATATGTGCGTTTTTGATGCGTTCTGTCCCGTTCCAGTAGAGTTCTGGGCAGAAAAATTGCTGCATCTTCTAATTTTTTCTGCAGTGGAACACACTGGAACTGACTGCACTGGTGTGAACTATGCCATTGGAACTCATATGACAAACTGTTCATGTGTTTTTGAACCAGCACTAAATCCCAATTCCATTGCTTTTTATACAGGGGGAGGGGACGATTCAAAGGCTAGACATTGTCTTTCTTCACAATAGTTAACAATATACAATAATGACTTGTTACAAAGAGGTCTACCTTCATATAGCCAATCTAACCCAACTTTCACACATGCAAACTGCTAATATGATTTTGGAGCATTTTTAGCATTTTTCATGTTTTCAGGTCTTTCTAGGTTTAAGCATTTCTGTTTCAGCCAATGGAACGATAGGTACTAGGAGATAACAGTTGTAAAGTACAAAGGTACGCAAAAAAAAGCACATTACACACATTTTTTTATAGCCTCCCATTGACTTCTACTGGAGCCAAAAATGCCTCAATAAAGCTCCTGCATGTTTTCTGACTGTTGAGTGACAGCACATCACTCAGATGGGAATGGGCACAACAGAATGCTGAAGATGCTTTGTAGCTTATCCACGCTTTTGATGACATACAAACACAGAAGTGATCCTGTTATCTCTATGATATTTCTAGACAGGCCATGTTAAAGTGTTACTAAACCCTGGACCCTGCATTCACTATATCTGGTCTCCCTGGACCCTGCATTCACTATATCTGGTCTCCCAGGACCCTGCATTCACTATATCTGGTCTCCCCAGATCCTGCATTCACTATATCCGGTCTCCCAGGAGCCTGCATTCACTATATTCTGGTCTCCCTGGACCCTGCATTCACTATATCTGGTCTCCCAGGACCCTGCATTCACTATATCTGGTCTCCCAGATCCTGCATTCACTATATCTGGTCTCCCAGGACCCTGCATTCACTATATCTGGTCTCCCCAGATCCTGCATTCACTATATCTGGTCTCCCAGGACCCTGCATTCCTATATCTGGTCTCCCCGAACCCTGCATTCACTATATCTGGTCTCCACGGACCCTCCCCGGACCCTGCATTCACTATATCTGGTCTCCCCGGACCCTGCATTCACTATATCCGGTCTCCCAGGACCCTGCATTCACTATATCCGTCTCCCAGGACCCTGCATTCACTATATCTGGTCTCCCAGGACCCTGCATTCACTATATCCGATCTCCCGGACCCTGCATTCACTATATCCGCTCTCCCAGGACCCTGCATTCACTATATCTGGTCTCCCAGGACCCTGCAATTCACTATATCCGCTCACCCTGGACCCTGCATTCACTATATCCGCTCTCCCCGGACCCTGCATTCACTATATCTGGTCTCCCAGGACCCTGCATTCACTATATCCGGCTCTCCCTGGACCCTGCATTCACTATATCCGGTCTCCCAGGACCCTGCATGCACTATATCCGGTCTCCCAGGACCCTGCATTCACTATATCCGCTCTCCCAGGACCCTGCATTCACTATATCCGGTCTCCCAGGACCCTGCATTCACTATATCCGGTCTCCCAGGACCCTGCATTCACTATATCCGCTCTCCCAGGACCCTGCATTCACTATATCCGGTCTCCCCGGACCCTGCATTCACTATATCCGCTCTCCCTGGACTCTGCATTCACTATATCTGGTCTCCCCGGACCCTGCATTCACTATATCCGGTCTCCCTGGACCCTGCATTCACTATATCTGGTCTCCCCGGACCCTGCATTCACTATATCTGGTCTCCCCCGGACCCTGCATTCACTATATCCGGTCTCCCAGGACCCTGCATTCACTATATCCGGTCTCTCCTGGACCCTGCATTCACTATATCCGCTCTCCCTGGACCCTGCATTCACTATATCTGGTCTCCCCGGACCCTGCATTCACTATATCTGGTCTCCCTGGACCCTGCATTCACTATATCTGGTCTCCCCGGACCCTGCATTCACTATATCCGGTCTCCCCGGACCCTGCATTCACTATATCTGGTCTCCCCGGACCCTGCATTCACTATATCTGGTCTCCCCGGACCCTGCATTCACTATATCTGGTCTCCCCGGACCCTGCATTCACTATATCTGGTCTCCCCGGACCCTGCATTCACTATATCTGGTCTCCTCGGACCCTGCATTCACTATAGCTGGTCTACCCAAACCCTGCATTCACTATATCCGCTCCCCGGACCCTGCATTCACTATATCCGGTCTCCCCGGACCCTGCATTCACTATATCCGCTCTCTGCCCCCAAGGCTCTGTACTATCAGCAGATGGATTGGGGACAGTAGAAGAAAGGGAGGATCAGAGAAGACAGGATCAAACAGTCTTTTCACACAATGCAGAGGATTAACCCCTTAGGTTCCACAGTGACTATAACAAGCATGCTTTACTGCATATGCAGACTGATTTTATTGTTGTGGGTTTAGTAACCAGTCACACCACTGCAATTTAAAATCACGTCATTTGTGTGCAATTTCTGCAGACTTTATTGCTACTTGTGAAGATTTTCAACGATTTCTTGCAATTTGCAGTGCGATCTCCATTCTATTCTATGTATGTGAAATCGCAACCAAACTGCAGAAAAAGTTATGCTACTCTAGAAATTGGCTGCAGCACATCGCACGTTTAAGTCACTAACATTCCCATTCATTAGATGTGATTTCAATTCGCAAATCACACTGGAAATCTCACTGGTGTGGCCGGGCACTAAATGTCACCAGAGCCATATATACCGCCTGATGTAGCCTCCATTCACACCTGAGTAATTTGAAGCATGTTTCCAAAAGAACTTCGACATTCCAGATTTCCATGTTGGCTGTGAAGGATCTCATTTGCCCAGGTCAGGATATATCTAGTTTGTCCCATTCAAGTGGACTTGTTCTTAAATGTTGAAGATGTTTGTGTTGCCTATCCATGCCACTTCTTGCTGCCAAATTCTTAGGGTAGAGATAGAAATATATTTAGTTCCTGTGCTGCCCTACGCATCACTAAAATCGGGCGCCCCCACCTCACCAGCACTTCCCAATCCCCCCCTGAAAATTGCCGCCCTAGGCAAACGCCTTGTTTGCCTGGCAGTAAATACGCCGCTGGGTGAAGATGTTAACATGGCATGACAGCCATCCACACATTTATTCATGGAAATTCCTGACAATGTACACAATGGAAAATGTTGTTTTGTTTTGTTTCATATTCATTGGCTAAAGGGTAACTCCACTTTCATGGGAAAAAAATAACAAATGAAAAAAAAATAATAATATAAGGTATACAATTGTGACACAAGTCATATTGTAAATGAATGTTATTAGAAATGACCTTTCCCTTTGACCCCCGGTTCACATCTATGCCGCCGTGCGGGCCGCGTTTTGCACAGGCACAAGAGCCCATTCATTTAAATGGACTCCCATTCCCGTGACACGCAGGGAAGAAGTCCCTGCACTTCTTTGGAAACGCAGCCCGCACGGGAATCTCGGTTCCCAGTACGGTTGCGTTTTTCAGTGTGGGCGGCGTGCCATTAGAACTAATGGCACCCGCCCACGGGTCCGCATTTGTCTGTGCGGGTGGATTTTCGTGCGGATCCACAGCGGCAGCACCCGCACAGTTGTGAACCTAGGGCCAATCTGTAATGCTGTAAAATGCAAATCAATATGGCAACCACCTGTGTATAGCACCCCCCCCCCCCCCCAGAAATGTTATTTCCTGCTTGTGTGATTGGCTCACTGATTTTCCCATAAGTCTGCTCTAGGCACAAGTCATATTTTGAGCATCCCCTCCAACAAAAATGTGATTTCTGGTGAGATACTCCCAAAGGGATGCAGACCCTGCCACTTTCCTCATTAGAGCCCTGCAGGTGCAGCAGCTGATTGATAATTCTAAAACCACTCCTATACAGAATAACTATGAGACAGCACACACCCACCACAATACAAAACCCAATCAAGTCGTTTCACAATCCTTCCCCTGAAGTACAAACATAAAACATATAAAACAGACTTAAAAATAAATAAATCAATAATAATTCAACCCAAAGTCCAACATAAAGTCAAAAAAATATATAGATTAAGTCCACAATCTTGGTAGATACACACTGATTCGTATCCTAATGAAGATCGATGATGAATCCCAGATACACTCCTATACAGGTTCACTGTGCACATGGACACCGACAAACAAACGGCTATTTCTTCAGAATAACAAAAGGTAGGAATCTGCAGCAAAGTTTGTTAAAAATCCTTGCAATGTACAGAGATCACTCACCCCCCGGTTCACATATATGCGGCCGTGTGGGCCGCGTTTTGCGCGGGCACAAGAGCTCATTCATTTGAATGGACTCCCGTGCCCCGTGACACGCAGGGAAGAAGTCCCTGCACTTCCTCTGAAAGCGCAGCCCGCAGTTCCCAGTACGGTTGCGTTTTCAAGTGCGGGCGGCGTGCCATTAGAACTAATAGCACCCGCCTGTGTCTCCGCATTCCTCTGTGTGGGTGCTGCGGCTGCACGGATTTTCGTGCGGATCCGCAGCCGCACCACCCCGCACATATGTGAACCAGGGAAGAGAGGGGATTTTTTTTTTGGCAGCAAATATGGAGTTACTCTTTAACCACTTGAGCTCCAGAGGATTTACCCCCCTTAATGACCAGGCCCTCTTTTTGCTACACGGCGCTGCACTAATTCAACTGATAATTGCGCGGTCATGCAATGCTGCACCCAAACAAAATTTACGTCCTTTTTTTCACACAAATAGAGCTTTCTTTTGGTGTAATTTGATCACCTGTGCGCTTTTTATTTTTCACGCTATAAACAAAAAAAGGCCAAAAATTTTGAAGAAAAACAATATTTTTTACTTTCAGCTATAAAAAAATATATAGTAAACTCAAAGTTGGTTATAAATTTAGGCCAAAATGTATTCTGCTACATGTTTTTGGTAAAAAAAATCCCAATAAGTGTATATTGATTGCTTTGTGTGGAAGTTATAGCGTCTACAAACTATGTATAGATACTGCAATTTACACCATTTTTCTGCTATACAGCGCTGCGCTAGTTTAACAGACAAATTGTGCGGTCATGCAATACGATGCATAAATGAAATTTACATCCTTTTTTTCCCCACAAATTGAGCTTTCTTTCGGTGGTATTTTATTGCCTATGCGGTTTTTATTTTTTTGCGCTATAAAAAAAAAAGCTGACAATTTTGAGGGAAAAAAAACAATACTTTGAACTTTTTTGCTATAAAACATGTCCAGTAAAAAAAAAAATGCAAAAATCAAATTTAGTCATAAATTTCTGCCAAAATATATTCTGCTCTATGTCTTTGCTAAAAAAAATCCCAATACGTATAAATTAATTGGTTTACATGAAAGTTATAGCGTTTACAAATGGCGGGAAAGATACTGGGATTTTTAGTTTTTTTGTTTATACTAATAATGGTGGCGATCAGCGAATTTATGGCGGCGATCAGGGACTTATGGCAGCGACCAGCGACTTATGGCGGGACTGCGGCGGACATTGTGACATTGGGGGGTACTGACTTGGGGTCACTGACATCCCCAAAAACACTAATACAGTGATCAGTGCAAAAAAAAAAAAACACTGACACTGTACTAATGGCAATGGGGAGGAAGGGGTTAACTTTATTTTGCAGGGAAGGGTTATAGGAGTGAGGGGAGTGTTTTACTAGGGGGCGGGGGTGTGTACTGGCGGGGGACAAGGCTGATCGAGAAAGAGAAACTGTTCTTTCTCGATCAGCTCATCCTCGAGCTGACAGGGAAGTGACAGACAGCACAGCTACTACAGCTGTGCTGTCTGTCACCGATCGCCGGGAAACAGCCGCTAAGGACTGGCTGTGACCCGGCGACTCACATCTGCGGCGGAGATCGGCGGGACAGATAGGGCGGCGGCGCGCTTCGCGCACGCCCCCTATTTGTTTACAAAACACACGTTTTAAAATGTGGTTTTGCCTGCGAGTGCCGCCCTGCCGCCGTATATCTACAGTGGCTGGGCGGCAAGTGGTTAAGTAAATAATTTCATTTACTCATTTTTGTTCATTTAGAACGATTCGTTTTTGTAATTCTTTTTGTATATTCAGATTTGTTTTGTAAATTTGGAAGTTATTTCAGAAGATTGGCTATATTTGTTTCAACATGTTAATTTGTTATTTGGAGATTACTTATGCGTTTGAGTCATCCCTGCTAGTCCAACCCACAAAGGGAAATGGATATCGACTGGAGTTACATGCATCCAAAAGTAACAAATGGACAAATTTCGGATTCAGTCATTACGGTATGTTATGATTTGGAGATTCTGATGGATTCACCTCCATCCAACCCAAACACAATGAGTAGGGATCATCTTATTTCACTTCTATACCTTACTGTATTTATTGCAATATATTTCCATTTCATATGTGCTGCATTTTTTAATATTGATAAAAAATTGTAATGCAAAATAATAACAAAAAGGATCCAAATCAATCTTGGTCATTCATTGTCGATACATTATTTTAGATGCTTCAAACATTAACAAAATTGTCTGGAGGAAAAGAAATGTAATCTCCAAACACGGAAAGGTTTCTTCACAGTGAAAGCTGTGAAAATGTGGAATAGACTTCCTCAAGAGTCGGTTCTGGCCAGTTCAGTGGATTGCTGTAGGAAAGTCCTGGATTCTTTCTTAGATACACAGAATATAACTGGATATAATATTTATAGGTAAAGTTGATCCAGGGAATAATTGCCTCTCGGGGGATCAGAAGGAATTTTTTTCCAGCAGGAGCAAATTGGATCGTGCTTTGCTGGGTTTTTTTGCCCTTCCTCTGGATCAACTGTGGGTGTAGGATATAACTTTTTTTTTTCTATGGTTGAACTGGATGGACTTTTTGTCTTTTTTCAGCCAGACTTACTATGTAACTATAAAAGGCCCAAACTATTGCATCAGGGAATTTCCAAATGAAACAAAATAAATACAAATTAATTCCTCTCTTATTTGAAAGGGGGGGATCAGGAAGTGAACACAATTGCAGGGCTGTTTTTCCCTTTTGCAGGAGCATTAAAATT